CGCATCAATTTTGAGTGCCAGCATGTCATCTTTTTATTCAAAATATTGAATCGTAAAAAAATGTCAGTAGTTTTGATAACTCAGGCTGACTCGTATAACAAAATTATTTGACCGCATCAACCAAAACTGACCATATCTGCATTTTATTATAAAAATATATAAAACCTCATAGTGAATCAGTAATATTTCTATGTCAGGATGGATTGTATAATACAAATGAGTGCAATATTGGAACACAATGACTACAAAATTTTGTCCGCAGCAATTTAGAGTGCATGCATGTCCTTTTTTAATACAAAATATTGAATTGTAAAGAAATTTCAGTAGAATTGATTCCTCAGGCTGACTCATATAACAAAATTATTTGACCGCATCAACCAAAACTGACCACATTTGCACTTTATTTTGTAAATCTATATAGCCGCATAGTAAATCAGTTATATTTTTATGTCAGGATGGATTGTATAATACAAATGACAGCAATATTGGAACACAGTGTCTACAAAATTTTGTCTGCATCAATTTAGAAAGCCACCATGTCATCTTTTTATTCAAAATAATGAATCTAAAAAATTTTAAGTAGTTTTGATATCTCAGGCTGACTTGTATAACAAAATTATTTGACCGCATCAACCAAAACTGACCATATTTGTATTTTATTATGTAAATATATAAAACTTCATAGTAAATCAGTAATATTTCTATGTCAGGATGGATTGTATAATACAAATGACAGCAATATTAGAACACAGTGACTACAAAATTTTGTCTGCATCAATTTAGAGTGCCAGCATGTCCTCTTTTTATTCAAAATATTGAATAGTAAAAAAATTTCAGTGCTTTTGATACCTCAGGCTGACCCGTATAACAAAATTATTTTTCTGCATCAACCGAAACTGACCATATTTGCACTTTATTATGTAAATCTTATAGTCAAATAGTAAATCAGTAATATTTCTATGTCAGGAAGGATTGTATAATACAAATGACAGCAATATTGGAACACAATGACTACAAATTTTTTTTCGCATCAATTTAGAGTGCCAGCATGTCTTCTTTTAATTCAAAATATTGAATCGTAAAAAAAATTCAGTAGATTTGATATTTCAGGCTGACTGGTATAACAAAATTATTTGTCCGCATCAACCAAAACTGACCATATTTGCACTTTATTTTGTAAATCTTATAGTCGCATAGTAAATCAGTAATATTTTTATGTCAGGATGGATTGTATAATACAAATGATAGCAATATTGGAACACAATGACTACAAAATTTTGTCTGCATCAATTTAGAGTGCCAGCATGTCCTCTTTTTATTCAAAATATTGAATAGTAAAAAAATTTCAGTGCTTTTGATACCTCAGGCTGACCCGTTTAACAAAATTTTTTTTCCTCATCAATCAAAACTGACCACATTTGCACTTTATTATGTAAATCTATATAGCCACATAGTAAATCAGTTATATTTTTATGTCAGGATGGATTGTATAATAAAGATGACACAATGATTGGAACACAATGACTACAAAATTTTGTCCCCATCAATTTAGAGTGCCATCATGTCCTCTTTAAGTCTAAATAGTGAATCGTAAAATAAATTTCAGTAGTTTTGAAATCTCAGGCTGGCTCGTTTAACAAAATTATTTGTCCGCATTAACCACTACTGACCATATTTGCACTTTATTATGTAAATCTTTATAGTCGCGTAGAAAGTCAGTAATATTTTTATGTCAGGATGGATTGTATAATACAAATGACAGCAATACTGGAACCCAAGGACTACAAAATTTTGCCCGCATCAATTTAGAGTGCCAGCATGTCTTCTTTTTATTCAAAATCTTGAATCGTAAAAAAAATTCAGTAGTATTGATACCTCAGGCTGACTCGTATCACAAAATTATTTGACCGCATCAACCAAAACTGACCATATTTGCACTTTATTATATAAGTCTTATAGTCGTATAATAAATTAGTAATATTTTTATGTCAGGATGGATTGTATAATACAAATGACAGCAAATTGGAACACAATGACTACAAAATTTTGTCCGCATCAATTTAGAGTGTCAGCATGTCATCTTTTTATTCAAAATATTGAATGGTAAAAATATTTCAGTAGTTTTGATACCTCAGGCTGACTCGTATAACAAAATCATATGACCGCATCAACCAAAACTAACCATATTTTTCCGATGTGTTGGATAACCTTTCTATCCGCCTTCTAATTAAAAAAAACCTTTCCTTTCTTTTATGATAGCTGCATGCATATTTGTCGATCAGAAGTGTGTAATTTTATAGCCATTATTTAATGTTTATAAGAATATGATATGACAAAGAATTTTTTGACAAAGAAGCTTTGAACATGAGCTATCTTTTAGACACTGTGCTTACTCTAAAAACATTGCAACCTGCCTGTAGTATAATCCAAGGAAACGGATGTATATATGTTGCACCTGCTTTGCACGGTAGTGTTTTATATATATTATTGGATGGCACTTTGTCTTGTACGTGGGGGGTTGGAGTGTTCAAGAATTTTTACATTCTAAAACTATTTGATGTATATAGTATTTAAAATCCCTTAAATACAGGTAAAACAAACTGTTTCTTCTTGGTGTTCCTAATTGGAAGGACATACGAAGAAGAAGTGTATAATATCTATACATGATAGTCTAACGAGTATAGTAATTTGGGAAAAAAGAACAATGTGATTATTGTTTGCATAAAAGCTCAGGTCTAATATGAAAAGTCGTAAACACGGCAATCTGTCATAAGCAGACCTGTCCTCAGGTCTGGTCAGTAGCAGACCTGTCCACAGATCTGGTCTGAAGCAGACCTGTCCACAGGTCTTGTCTGGGCAGATCTGTCCTCAGGTCTGGTCTGGGGAAGATCTGTCCTGAGGACTAGTCCATAGCAGACTTGTCCATAGGTCTGGTCTGGAGCAGACTTGTCAATTGGTCTGCAGCAGTCCTAAAAAAGCAGACCTAGGTCTGGTCTACCAACGACGAAGTTAACTTGCTTGTCTGCTAAAAATTTCTAAAGTTAACTTGGAAAGCAGTCAAAAAGTCTGCTCAAAGTTAACTTTTGTACAGGTTAGGACTGCACCAATTTGTACCTTATAGTCTTAAATATTGAAAAAAATTATTTGATTGATACCTTTTAAAAAACTAAAAAAAAAGATAAGTGCGTGCATTGCGTGAACATTTTTTTCTTACTCAGACAAAACAACATACCCCCACCCCCCCTCCCTTTGAAGTTAAATTGTTGCTTCCTAAAGCCGAAGAGGAAAGCCATTACATGGACCATCAAAAGCTATATGTTTATGTAGCCTAGGTATTCGAGTGGTCTTAAACTCTGGACACGGCACAGGCTGTGTTGCCACTATAACGATATCATATAGACAAGGGTTCCGCTACAGGAAGAACAAAAATTAGCAAACCCAAATTTGAAGATCTAACATTGTTGGGCTTAAATTGAGTTAATAATATATAAACGTTTAGATATGAGTCACCGATCATTCTTACGAGGGCGTTGAATCGGTACGGGTGACAATACCTGTACACAATTTTTTTTTATATAAAACCATAAAAGGTGGACAAAACCAAAACGCCTTTTTCAACTGATTTTTAAAGTTCGTTCTTATGTTGTACTGTCACACCACTGTCCCAGGTAAGGGGGAGGGTTGGGATCCGGCTAACGTTTTTAACCCCGCCATATTCTGTATGTGTGTGCCTGTCCCAAATCAGGAGCCTGTAATTCAGTGTTTGTCGTTTGTTGCTGTTTTACATATTTGTTTTTCGTTTTTTGTACATTCACGAGGCCGTTAGCATGGTTAGTTTTCTCGTTTGATTTGTTTTACATTTGTGATTTCGGGCCTATTATAGCTGACTATGCGGTATGGGCTTTGCTCATTGCTAAAGGCCGTACGGTGACCTAGCTATAGCTGTTAATTTCTGTGTCATTTGGTCTCCTGTGGAGAGTTGTTTCATTGGCAATCATACCACATCTTCTTTATTATATAACACCAATATTAAATATTTCAGATTACAGATATCCTTCATCAGTATAATTATGATGTAAAAAAGCAGCGAAAGATACCAAAGGGACATTCAAACTCAAAGGTCGAAAATAAAGTGACAACGCCATGGCTAAAAAAGAGAAAGACCAACAAATACCAGTGCACACAACACAACATAGAAAACTAAGACTGAGCACCACAAACCCCACCCAAACTGGGGGTGTTCCGGAAGGGTAAGCAGATCATTCTCCACGTGTCGCACCCATCGTATTGCTCATGTTTGTACAAGCCCGGTAATAAACTTAATCCCGTCTTTTTATTCCACATACGGGAAAATTAATTATATCAATCTATTTTGATATAACATGTATAACTATAGCAATCTTTAAATTTATGCAATTAAAACCGAACAACGCTTGTACAATTCTAAAATTTTAAAAATGACGTAGGTAAGGTATTCACAACAGAGACTGCATATCTATATGCTTCTAACACAAATAGTAATACGCAATAGGAACAGGTAAATTTATTGTAAAATTTCACACAGATGAGTTATTACAACAAAGACTGCTTCGAAATATATTCCCAATGAATAGCATTTACCGATTTGAGCTGGTATAATACTCAAATTTCAAATTTGACGAGGGTTAAGTAATTACAACAGAGGCTGCGTATTTACACATCCAAAATAAATAACATTTTGATATTTCTGAAAATTTGTAAAGGTTAAGTAATTGGACGTGGCTGCGTTTTTAAACATCCCAAATGAATAGCTATTCTAGAACTACACGATTTTTAATCGCATGTTGCCATTCATTTGGGATGTATAAGCAGCCTCTGTTGTGATTACTTTACCTTCGTCAAATCTGAAACATATAAACATTGAATAAGTATAAATTTATAATGTAGATTGTGTATATCTGCAAATCTGAAATCTGAAAATTGTTATTTGTTATTACATTTGATTGTCTGTTGAAACATACCTCCAATATGCTGAAATTCGGCAAAACACTGACTTAAGCCTTGCTTACTTATGTCGTCCTTCATATCTGCAACTACAAGGTATACTGCACTACTAGTTAAAAATGCTTGATGTGTAGCATAAAATTCTTTTTGTCCTGCAAAGTCCCATAATTCACATAATGCAAAAAGGTTCAAAAGAGTATTATCAGTTGACTTAGAAAACACATTAGACATCAAATCCTCAGGCATTACCAATGATGAAGACTTATTCGTTTCTTTACTATTACACAGTTTAACCTTTGCTTCGCTAGTGAAATCCTCTGGCACTACCAATGATGCCGACTCATTCGTATCTTTATTGTTATCATGATTAACCTTTGCTTCAGAAGCTAAATCCGCACGTATTATCCATGATAAAGACTCATTTTTATCTTTAGTATTATCCAGGCTAACCTTTGCGTCGGTTGTGTCTTTTTTATCAGTAGACATCTCATCACTTTTACTTGTATTTGTATTCTTTATCTCATCTACCGGCATATTTTGAGTGTCTGTGTCCTCTGCGTTTGAATTAAGTGCTCTCTTTATACGGCTCACCTTATCATCATCAATTTCTGGCAGGAAAAAACAAAAAACAATGCTCATTTTTACAACAAGTTTCAAGTCTTATTAATTAGCATTAGTATCATTTCCCATACCATTCATAGGGGGTTGAATTGTTATTGTATAGGATCGTTGTGATCGTACCATGTTGTTCGTGTAACATTGTAAGGGAAAAGAAGCATTACTTGAAATGAAAATGTGCTTTCTAGAATTTTCAAAGTTCAACCTCACTTAAAGGGTTAAAATATCTCAAGGGTAACTTGGGTATAGAAATATGGCCACCTTGACAAAAACCTTGTCTTAGATTCGCCGTCTTTTATGTACAGGTTGTTTACATTTGTAGCCTTGTCCGGTAAGAAGGAGACGTTAAATTCGATGTCTCATGTAGCGAGGATGTAACATTTACAGTACGTTAAAAAACCCTTGCGACTATTACTTCTCAATCAATCAAATCATTTTCCAGTAGCAATCCATATTTCCCGCACTTCATCCCGGTTGTCCCACCATGCAAAACCTACCTATAGTATTAATATTTGATATTTCTCTTCTCGAATATGTACTAGGTTATAATTGCCATTTAAAAAAAAAATATGTATTTTATTTAACACTTCTCTCATTCAAATGTTTGTGTCGCTAAAAATTATCATCAACTTGTATACCTTTAGAATTTGACCAAACATAAAAGATGAATAATTTACACGTAGGGGAGGGGTCAATTTAGTGCACGGTTCGATGGAAATAAGAAAAAATCTTTACAATTATGGCCATACAATTTTATAACTTGTATCGGCGTATAAGAGAAGTCTCGTATGTTCAAGACGAGAAAAGATTACCTATACATACCATAAGTAAGTCTTGTAATGAAGGCCAGCCGGGTTGATGGTCGGGAAAAATTAACACTGACAAATGAGGGTAAGTTGGATAGGGACTGAAATTTCGCCTAACAAAAGGCCATCAACGGACGATATGATCAACGATTGATTAATTGATTGATTGTTGTTAAACGTCCAGTCGCAAATATTTCATCCATTTTCAGGTTAAGAACACATTAACAAGAAATACAATAGGTAGGTCCTGTATTACAGGCTATCTGGGGTGAAGGTATGAAAAATTATGCCTGCCACTGAAAAATGAGGGTATATTGGATATAAATTTGCCTTGAAATGTGCCACCTACAGACCAATCAAAGAGTGATTGCAAGGGTTCCTAACGTGCAGAAAACGTGGCACAAACTCTACCCGAGGCGTCGGATTTAACGTTCCCATTCTGATTGGACGACGCTGCGTACGTATACATCCCGCACAGCCAAACGGACGCCTACCTTAAGCAATGGTTTTACTGCCGGTCGGAAAGAAGACCTGTAGCGACTATATTTCTTCTCCCCAGTCATCATTGGGGGTGACATGAATAATGCTTCTGTACTTTACTTCGCTCTATTAGATAAAAATAGACTACGTATTAGTAATATAGATTCCCGGTGTAAATCGTTTTTTTATTAATAGCCCAATCTTTAAATGGAAAGCCCTGTTTGTTTAAAAAAAAATCTTTCTAAACGACAGACAATACTTGAACTATTTTTGTGTAGACTCAAATGTTGCTGGATTAAAGAACGAACTGTTTCACTAAATCCTGGATTATTCAATAAATGTGATGCATTTTTGTGTTGCTTAACATCATATTTTTGATTTTATACGTGTCGATTAAGGGCACAGCATGCTAAATTTCTTATGTTTTCTTATCTTATATTAATGCACATTCGAAATTTTTCTAAATACGATGTGTTTGTTAAAATACGGTCGCAAAATATACACGTTCATAAGACAAAGGTAACAACGAATCACCAAATGCGGACAACTGTTTTGTTTTTAAATTATATTTTAAGATAAACTGCACCAATTTAATGCATCAAAATGAGCATTTCGACAATTAATGTCTCTTCAGTGATGCTCGATGCCAACATATTTAAATATCCAAAATACAATGCAAAAAATGAAGTGTGATCAAACCAAAAAGGATCTCAAGTATGGCCAAATTCGACAAGGAATCTTATAATCAGCAAAGACCCATCGAAACAACATCTGATATAAAAGTGTTATCACACTTTTAGATATTTGGATGATATATTGGCTCTCAATAATGAAGACTTCAGTATGTACACAAAAGAGATTGATCTAACTTTGAATAAAGCTAATACTAACTGAACACTGCCCTTTCCTGGATCTTGATATATATATATCTTTAACGGAAAGCAAAATTTATGATAAAAAATATAATTTTTTATTTCCTATTATTAATTATCCATTTTTAGATGGTGAAGTTCCCTTGTAACCATCATATTAAGTTTATGTATCTCAACTTGTTCGATTCGCTCGTGTATGTAACAACGTATTTGATTTTAACGAAAGAAATTTCTGTATTACTGAAAAAAATTGCACCAGGGTTTTCGATATCACAAGCTAGTCAAAGCATTTACTAAATTTTATCATCGGTACAAGGACATCATTCGTAAATATAAAACAACATGCATATATCTTTTACGTTCAGGTATTGCACATCCAATCTTTTATGGTAATATTAATATAAATATACAAAACACAAAAATGTCGGCATTCACCTCAAAAGCTAGCCAGACCTTTAAACAAATTTATTAAGAATGGATATAGTTACGATACTGTTGACAGGTCATTAAAGATGACATATTTTGGTATTAATATTGATTCACTCATTGGGTCTTTGAATCGGAAATAAACAAATTTATTCTAAAACCAGTTGTTGGCATGATACGGGTTATGTTCTCATATATTTTATGATGGTACGATACTAAACCCGTAACGAAAGTGATTGTGCTTGATTTTCATATGATGAAGACACAATCTTTCAATCAGTTTTATTTAGGTCTGGAACCGGCAATTCAGGAACTGGTATTAATCCTTTGTTAATTTATGGATCATTGTCAATTTGCTTGGTTCTTTTGTTACCTATTCTGACATCAGACTCGGGCTTCTTTAAACGGAGTTCTACTATGCGTATTGCTGTGTGTTTTCTGCATTGGCTAGATGTATAGGGGGAGGGTTGAGATCTCACAAAACATGTTTAACCCCGCCGCATTTTTGCGCCTGTCCCAAATCAGGAACCTTTGGCCTTCGTTAGTCTTGTATGATTTTTAATTTTATTTCAATTATATTTTTTGGAGTTTAGTATGACGTCCATATTCACTAAACTATTACACATATTTGTTTAGGGGCCAGCTGAAGCCCGCCTCCGCGTGCGGGATTTTCTCGCTGTGTTGAAGACCCGTTGATGGCTTTCGACTGTTGTCTGCTCTTTGGTCGGGTTGTTGTCTATTTGACACATTCCCCATTTCCATTCTCAATTTTTACTTTGCACGAGTGAGATATATTCTTCAATTTTATATAATGTTGATATATTTATAACAGCAACTTTTGATCTAACAATATCCGTATTTTCATGCCAGTACCGATGTACTGGCTATTGGGTTGGTGATACCGTCGAGGACTAACGGTTCACTAGCAGAGGTATCAACACAGTGGTAGTAATAACATAAACGGCACCAAGTTTAATAAACCAGATGCGCATTACGACAATTGATGTGCCTTCAGTATTGCTCGGGGTCAAAATATTGAGATATCCAAAATCTAGTACAATTGTAAGGTGAATAAATTGTGTAGTATTGGTTCACGTTTCATACAATTTGGTCGTGCCACTTTTCCGCCTAATTTTTTTCTTTCGTAGTATTGTTGTTTCACAAGATGTCGCTTAGATATTTGATATATGCTATCAAACAGTTTATACGCTTTTAAAACTGACACTGTTTAACCGAACACTTTACGTTGTAAGAGTCATCTCCCCAAATACTGTTTTTTTTTGTGGCCACTACTCCTTCGCAACCGAAAAAGTTTAAGACAAATTTATTTTACCAAATTGCTCGTTACATCTTCAGGATTAGGATGACTATTTGGACCAAAGCCGGAAACTCCATATGAGAGTTATTACCCCTTATGCATTTGATATACTAGTTAGTGATATGCATTTCTAACTAGTAAACCATAAGTGATAGAGACCTAGGGTCTTTTGATTTGAGGTCCTTGGTCCAAAAAAATAAAAATTAGAATAAGGTCAAAGGTCAAGGTCATATTCTCAATTTTGATTTTGGCTTATTTTCACTTATTTTCAAAAACCGTATAAGATATCGACTAATTTTTTTTACTAAATTGTAAGTTGCGACATGTCGTAACATGTTAATTTTGATTGCGAGGGTACGTTGACCGTAAATGGGAGTTTTCTCCCTTTTTATATTTAGAATTACATGTATGGTGGTATATCTCATTTACCAAGTATAATAAAGACCTAGGGTAGTTTGATTTAAGGTCCTTGGTTTATGACCTTGAAATTGAGCTCAAGGTCAAAGTTGAATTTGAAATTCTAGATTTTGACCTTTGCTTTAACTTCATATTTAAACATGATAAAGCCATGGGACTTTTTTCATTAGGGTGAAATTTACATGACCTTGAAAATCCAATGGAAATGACGTTGTGTAAACCGGAAGTAGCTTTTTTTGTACTTATTTGATGTAGAAGTATATAGAACCATATATTTTTGGAATCAGTGTCAAGTAAACTATCAAAAAATACCGGAAGTGACATTTTTCAGACCGGAAGTAACAAATTATCTCTCTTATTTCAAACAAAATTGTATAGAAACCATATTTTTTTTGGAATCAGCGTACATTAAGGTATCATTTGACACTCGAAATGAAATTTTAAACCGTATTTCAATATTTTCATATCAAAATGAATCGTAAGAAGTGGAAAGACCTTCAATTATTCTCTGAACAATTGCTTTTTAATTATTACTTTTCCGTGGAAAGACCTATTGATTTTGTTCTGATTATTATTATTTTTTTTTTCTTCCACCAAATATTTTTCTTTCATTGTGTTCTTGTTTTATAAGATGTCGCTTATATATGTGGAATATGGTATCGTACAGTTTATACGCTTTTGAAATTAACAACGGTTCAACTGAACACTTAACGTTGTAAGAGTTATCTCCCCAAACACTGTTTTTCTTGTGGCCACTACTCCTTCGCAACCGTAAAGAGTGCGACTAATTTATTTTACCAAATTGCTCGTTACATCTTCAGGATTAGGATGACCATTTGGACCGAAGCTATCCGAAGATTCCATATGAGAGTTATTTCCCCTTATGCATTTGATATAAATGATATTATATGCATTTCTAACTAGTTAACCATAAGTGATAGAGACCTAGGGTCTTTTAATTTGAGGTCCTTGGTCCAAAAAAATGAAAATTAGGCCAAGGTCAAAGGTCAAGGTCATATTCTCAATTTTAATTTTGGATTGTTTCCACTTATTTTCCAAAACCGTAGAAGATATCGACAAATTATTTTTACTAAATTGTTAGTTGCGACATGTCATAAAGCGTAAATTTTGATTGCGAAGGTACGTTGACCGTAAATGGGAGTTTTCTCCCTTTTTATATTTAAAATTACATGTATGGTGGTATTACCCATTTACCAAGCATAATAAAGACAAGGGTAATTTGATTTACGGTCCTTGGTTTATGACCTTGAAATTGAGCTCAAGGTCAAAGTTGAATTTGACGTTCTAGATTTTGACCTTTGCTTTAACTTCATATTTAAACACGATAAAGTCATGGGACTTTTTTCAATAGGTTGCAATTTACATGACCTTGAAAATCCAACCGGAAATGACCTTGTGTAAACAGGAAGTAGCTTTTTTGTACTGATTTGATGTAAAAGTATATACAACCATATATTTTTGGAATCAGTGTCAAGTAAACTATCAAATAATACCGGAAGTGAAATTTTTCAGACCGGTGGTAACAAATTATCTCTCTTATTTCAAACAAAATTGTATAGAAACCATATTTTTTTGGGAATCAGCGTACATTAAGGTATCATTTGACAATCGAAAATACATTTTAAACCGTATTTTAATATTTACATATCAAAATGAATCGTAAGAAGTTGAAAGACCTTCAATTGTTCTCTGAACAATTGGTTTTTAATTTTGTTAGGGTTTGTTTGGATGTACAGCTATTGATTTTTAATATCAGGAAGAAAGGATTTGCAAAGCTTGCACTGTAACAAATAGAACGTCGCTAGCGTTAGAATCTCACAGAGACCCTACATAAAGGGAATATTTTGTTCGACTACTTTTGCAAATGTTATTTGGGTTACTTTTAAAAGAGAACAGTAACTGGAAGCATTAAAATGTGATGAAACAGTTTCAATTATCATAATACGCCGCGGAAATGAGACTGTAAAATAATATCTAGATATTTAAAGAAATATGAAACGAGTTTCTTGAAATTATAATGTGAAGAAAACTATGGAACAAAATCATGTATATATACTAAACTTAGTGTCCTATACGCGATTTTTAACATTTATTACGAATCCAAAACATATAAACGACAACAAATATTTCATGCAATTGAAACTTTGCCTATTATTTAACTTACTTGTTTATCAGACGTGTCCTTAATAAACAATTTGCAGACTCATGATGAACGTGGAAATTAATCAACTTTTTCATAACTGTGGTTCAATTATTGAAATTATTATTTTTATTTTCCGAGAATCAAACAAAAGCACTAACTTTTATGTGTTTTTTTTTTCCTATTCTTAAATCATTGTTGTTCCCTCGCACTTGTGCTATACGGTTGCCAAAATACTAACGAGATATCATGTGGTTACGGTCCCTTCAAACAGAAACGCTATCAGCGAAAAAGAAAACGGGAAGACGGTGATTCAATAGCAGTACATTTCAGAAGATGTTGATAAGATAAAGGATTTTCTTTTTAAAAAAGTATGTGTACACGTGTTTATAGTTTAGTTTGTCGTTCAAGTATATAAAACATATTCATCTTTTTTTTTATTTTGAAGTATCTTAGACTCTAGTTAGTTAAACACAAACACAATGTGTGATGGTGACCTTAGAACTTGTGAAGTATACATTTCTGTTGGAGCAGTTTTGGTTTAAGGAGCACACACGTTTAAATGAACCAATGATTGCTATTCGATTGTTTTTCTGTGAATTCATATTCATTAATTACCACCACTAAGTATTTATATACCTTTTCCGATTATCCATGTTCCCTCCTCAATGTTGATTTTGCATCTACGAACGACAATGTCAACACCATCTGTACTGGTAACATCAGATATGTCTTCTTTCAATAATCTTCTCAAGAGGCACGTTTTTCCAACCGATTCCTTGCCGACTATCATAATTCTTACAAAATACCTCTTTTCTGTTTTTTCAGTTTGCATTAGCTTATTGTATCTGATTTTATCCCATTCCGATAATTGGTTAATGGCTTCTGGCAAAACTGAAATAAGTTTATATCTGTAACGTGATTTTTTATAAAAAAAATACAGAAATTTCGATTGTCTTAGTAAGAACAAAAATGTGTTTAGTGGCAATAACACAACATACACAAAGAAACAGATTGAACGGAAAATAGACGTGTCAATGTTAGTTAACTTTCTCATTCCATCGAATATGAAGTAATCTATTATTAGGTCTTTCCACTTTTCCGTGGAAAGACCTATTGCTTTTGTTCTGAATATTACTTTTTTTTCCGCCTAATGTTTTTTTCTTGCACAGTAATATTGTTTCACAAGATGTCGCTTTGATATTTGGTATAATATATCGAACAGTTTATACGCTTTTGAAATTGACCTTGTTTAACCGAACACTGTTTCTTGTAGGAGTTATCTCCCCAAACACTGTTTTTCTTGAGGCCACTACTCCTTCGCAACCGTAAAAGATATCGACAAATTTATTTTACCAAATTGCTCGCTATATCTTCAGAATGTTGAGTTTGGTTTTGATCGAAGCGTTCGGGAGACTCCATTTGAGAGTTATTTCCCCTTATGCATTTGATTTAAGTGATATGCATTTGTATCTGGTAAACCATAAGTGATAGAGACCTAGGATTTGAGGTCCTTGGTCCAAAACAAAGAAAATTAGGTCAAGGTCAAAGGTCAAGGTCATATTCTAAATTTCGATTTTGGCTTATTCTCACTTCTTTTCATAAACCGTACAAGATATCAACAAAATATTTTTATTAAAATTGTCATTTGCGACATGTCGTACCTTATAAGTTTTGGCTGAAAGGGTGCGTTGACATTAACTGGGAGTTTTCGCCTCTCTTATATTAAGAATTATTGGTATAATGATATAACTCATTAACCATACATATTAAAGACCTAAGGTCTTTTGATTTGAGATCCTTGGTTCATGACCTTGACATTGAGGTCAAAGTCATAGGCAAATTTGACGTTCTAGATTTTGACCTTTGCTTTTAATTCATATTTATACATCATAAAGTCATAGGACTTTGTGCATTAGGTTACAAGCCATAAGATTTTGAAAAAGCAAATCGTAAGTGATCTTGTGTAAACCGGAAGTGGCTATATTTTTGTACTTATTTCATGTAAAAGTATATAGAACAATATATTTTTGAAAGCAGTGTCAAATAAACTACCAAATAATACCGGAAGTGACATTTTTCAGACCGGAAGTAACAAACTACCTCATTTATTTCAAACAACATTGAATAGAAACCAGATATTTTTGGAATCAGCTAATAATGAGCTATCGTTTGACACAGGGAATGACATTTTAAACCGAGTTTTTATATTTTCATATCAAAATAAATCATTAGAGGTGGAAAGACCTTCAATTGTTCTCTGAACAATTTGTTTTTTTCCGTGGAAAGACCTATTGCGTTTGTTCTGATTACTATTAGGTATTTCCACCTTTCCTTGGAAAGACCTTTTGATTTTGTTCTGATTATTAGTATTATTTTTTTTTTCTTCCGCCTAATTGTTTTCTTGCGTAGTATTGTTGTTTCATAAGATGTCGCTTAGATATTTGGTATATGATATCGAACAGTTTATACGCTTTTGAAACTGACAACCGCTTTTACTTCGAAATACTAGTTGGATTATTTGTTTGTATTCTAATGTATTGCCAATCCAGTAAACAGTGTTTCGGTACTGCCATGAAACTACAGAATGACGTTGTGTCCATTAAATTTACTGTAATGAAAGTTATATTTTTAAATAAGAACTTTACCCCCTCATGCATATCTCTGATTCAGGGTTTGGCTATACTGTCGTCCTTTTTGGTTCAGTTAGCTTTTGTGCAGTTAATTTAATAACGTTTATGTTATTAATTTAGTCAATTTTGAAACTAACTACTGAAGACTGATTTTTAAAGTATGAAAGTCAGCAATTTCCGACTGAGGATAAAACTTTCAACGTAAAAAAATCAGCTCTTCCAATTTTGAGATTATGTATCAACACATTTATTTGAAGGAAATTGCATATTTGGTTTATCCCCCATTTCGGTTTACCCAGCTGATGTGTCGAATTAGGCTACAATTTGAATTTTGCATTTCAGGTATCAAGCTTTTTTTCCCAAAAGTACAATACATTTCATATAACACAAAAATGTAATAATGTTTTCTTCTATTAAAAAATAAATAACAACAAAACCGAACTCCAAGGAAAATTTAAATGCGGAAAATTAAAAATAACCATGTTTTTGAAATAACATATTCTACATAATTCAAATAAAAACAACAATGTAGAACATAACACTGTATTCAATTTTCGTAAGATGAATAAGTTGCTGTGAGACATGTGCTATAACGTCATCAAATACACCATTGTTAAAGTTGGAGAGAATATAAACACAAAATGCCCTAACAACAGTCGAAGCTATCAAAGGTACCATTCTTCTTCCAATATATGGGAAGATCATGGTAATCTAAAGAGGAAGATGACAAAAATATATACATCAATATGGTTTCAGTCAACAACAAATTGTCAACCACAAAGTCATCAGTGGCGCTCAAATCCAAACAGTTGCAAGGCCAAATAAAACACGAAGTTGCAGAAAATTGGAAACCAAACATCTTAAAGTTGTGTCACATGTGGGCTTTAAATGCCTTGAGTTTAAACGCCTTGAACCTACGAAATATTCAACATTTCATACTGTTAATTTAAAAAAAATGTCTGGTCAACACAAAAGGACTTACTACTAGGTTGGCGGTTTTAGAAAAAAAAACCCATCAAAGATCAAAGATTTTGTATGCAGGACAGAATCATTAGTGGCGCCAGAACCAAAACAGTTGAAAGGCCATTTCAAATGAGAATTTTAAGAGCATTAGTTTTTAACTTCCAGAATCATATCTGTAAGTCAATTCTTATCTGACAATCTTGTCAATTTCTACGTCAAATTCTTCCTAGTCCATCATATGTATTAATATGACAAAATCAGTACGCAAGCCTTCTAAGAACTTTCTTATATATTAAGAACATCATAATTATTCGTTTGTCTTTTGTGGAACAAAAATTATAAACATGTGATGCTTACTTCTTATTTGAACAAAGAACTAAAAAATAAAACAAAAAGATATAGAAAATTAAACGAATACATGTTTATATTGAATGTACTTACTACTAGGAATTTGGGTACATCGTCGCAATCGTCGCCGATTTATCAGTAAAATAATACAAATAACGCCTGAAAAAATATCAAGTTTCATGTTCAGAATAGGTTTGTTATTGTATATAAAATAGAACTATCTGATGTATCTTTAAAGACATTCTTTAAAGGAATATTAAGCCAGCATATATATAAGCAAATTGGCAAGGTTTGAGTGCATGTATCAGCTGTGTCATTATTACTTTCCAACCAAAAAAATTATTCGTTAATTTTCATTTTTTGATCAATTCGCGCGTCATTGTTTGACCTCTGGACATTACCTTTATGAAAAATCTCCTCAAAAAACCATGTTGAATAAAAATAGCAGATAATCATGTCACGGAGTTCATTATGAAATGTTAAATAACATGGCAACAATGTTCTCGTTTTTCACTGAATATTCAAACGTCAACCTCGAAAAAGACGTGCAAGCGAACACAAAGAATGTGTCTTTAACGGCAGTGTTTGTTGAAATGATTTCAAATTATCAATGACAAAAATCACAATTAAAAATCGTGGTTTATTATATGTAAAGCCCTCTAAACCAGCAGTGAGGTGAGAGTTTTATTCCGTGTTAAAGTCCCATGCTGACTTTAGGATGAAGAACAACAATACAAACAGTGTTTCAGTGTATGTCCTTATTTTGGGGTAATGGATGGATACCCCATATCCTTTATTTTTTATTATGTAATTTCAATTATGAAAACAAAAAACACTTGTACTTGGTGGCTTAAATTGTAACACTCACGAAAGAAAATTGTAAAATTCCTGCAACACTTATAACGTCGTAATTGATGAGTGTTCAAAGATATTGGAAATGTTTGTGAAATTTTTAGGTATGTACTTAATCTGGTGCATGGTTTTTTATATTATCAATGCTTATCACAGGGTAATGTAAGCGAGTTTCAAATACACGATCATCAACCCTCTGTTTGGACTTTTTTATATGTGGATTATTTATTTTCGACATGCACCATATAAACTATTTCCAAAAAAAAACCCTTTAAAGCTTTGTACATTTGCATTATCCAATGCACGATCCTTGTATGGTGTGGACAATTTTATTAAATTTCTCGCAGACTCCTTACAAACACGTTGACAAAAATTAAGACAGATATAGAAAACTATTTTTTCCGAATCCTCCTTTTATTAAAATGTTCATATATTTTAAAGTACTTACAGGATGCTAAAGACAATGTCAAAACCCATTGAAATGCTTCGATGTGATAATTATCTGTAATCATACAAAATAAAGCTGATGCAAGTTTTTTGTATTGATCGATGTTTCCATTGTCGATTTTTAATTAATGAATAATTTTATTAACTTTTATATTAACTGATAGTTGAACTCATAAACTATTTTCAAATGAATATTTAATTTAATTTAGGTGTCTCTGCTCTATATAAAAATAAGGAGATGTTGTATGATTGCAAAGGAGACAACTATCCACCCAAGTTCAAATGAAGTATATGTAAGCAGTTGTAGGCAACCGTACTGCCTTCAACAATGAGAACAACCCATACATATGTTCACTGATAAAAGAGGGTCTTACAGAGCTATACTTTGTTTTATTATAAATTTGGAGGCAAGTACCCTTCCAAAGCTTTCTGATTTGTTTTTATATGTGTGTCTTATTTTCTTGATAATTTATAAACTGCAAAACATCAATTATATTGTCTTCAAACTACTTATATAACTATTGATTGATCCTTCTTCTAACAGGTTTCAACTCACAATAGTTTAGGTTGTAGTTGTAGTTGTCAAATTCAATGATCTTTATTTTCCGTGATATATTAAACCTTAAAAAAAAAAATACACATGGTTATTGTCGAAGAGATTTACATTCAGAAAAATATTGATAGAAATATTTTATTAAATTCAACTGTAATGAAGTGTTTAACTCCCTATGTTACCACTAACATAATCTGAATTAGTTTTTGTCGACGTTTCTTTTATGAATTACACAGAAGCTAAAGTAAGTTGTTTTTGAAATTTCAGGAACTTTTCGTCGTGAGAATAACTGATGCACCTATATTTATTTGGTATTGGTATACAACATTATATATATATTCATTTTCGCATCAATTATACATACTTAATATTTATAGATATATGTATATTAATGTATAAAAATAAATGAATATAACAAAGACATAATTTGAGGGATAAACAAACACTAACCTATCTCCTAAGTAACGACTTCCTGTCCTTTTCGTGTCATCGTAGCATTTCATATCTGAGAAATATAAGAGAGAAGCTTGTTTTTCTTATAAAATATTTGCACTTCTGTGAGTGGTGCACACATTTTTCCGTCAGTTGTAATGGTCGGTAGCAAATTAGTTACACAATCTCGATTACCAGCATATATGCAAAAATTCACTTAATTGATTTCATTGCACTGTAACAGTGAATTGCTTTTTTTTTTTTTTTATTCAAGTTGTTAATTATTTTATATTTGTATGCAACTAGTTCGTTTCTTACTAAATAATTATGTAAATGTTAATGAGGCATGAAGCTTCTGATTAAATTCAATAGTAACAACCAAAGACGTGCCTTTCCATCTAGTCCACAATACATTAAAATATGCGACAAATGGTCATGACTAGGACAAATACATGAACAAAAAAAAAAACAAGCTAAAATCAATGTAAACATTTTTTTTTTGTGAAAGTTAGGCTGAACATTTACCGACAAAAAAGAAAAGATGTAAGAATTTACAAAATAAAACAATCAAATTTCATAATTTTTTAGATATAATCTAAAGATGAAATAGTTCTTGTTTGTTGTAATGAGTTTTTTTTTTATAGACAATAAGGATAATGAAGTATAAGTCAATAGGCTGCTAAACTTAACCATGTCGCTTTATAAAAACAACAACAGAACATCTTTTAAGCATCATCAATAGAGAGACAGCTCTTTGTTTTTTTTAAATATTGATAGTCTATAAATCTGGCAAAAAGAGAATTGTACTTTACCGTTCAGTCCAATTGTTTTGTTGTATTGGTATATTCCGAGATAACAGGAACAATCGTCAGTTGAAGGATTGCAGTAACATTGGTTTGTCGAGTTCATGACAAAAGTATATCCTCTATCGGTATTACACATACATTTTATATCGACCGTAGTGTTACCGTTTTCATACGTCTCCTGACCTAGACTGTTGCAAAGAGATTTTTGAAAGGTACAGTCACTGTTCCCAATTGTATCAAAAATGAAAGGCTGGTATCGAGTAACACTACATGTTGCTCTGTTCAAGTTAGGCTGAAAGACGTATTTATAACCTGCAAATGGAAGTGGTCATTATATATTCGTGGATAAATCATGTCACATTAATAACGGTTTTACAGTATAAGTTATATTTCGGTGCATTTTTTCTTTTCCTAATTAAGGTTCATGTATTTGACATTATTCTCTATCATTGGTATTCATTTGAAATGAAATAAAGTTCTGAAAAATAACGGCAATTCTCTTCGAAAAAAAGCCTTTAAATTATGTATCAAACATTTCTATTATTATATGAAAATACAGTTATCTATTGTAATTACAAATAGAAAATATTAGTTACATTTATTGCTGGCTAGGGACCATCTGTAAAAGCAGAAAAAAACATGCTACCATATAAGGACACACATTTAGATATTTAAAAAGCCATACCAGGCGCTAAAATTCTAGGTCTGCTACATCTCTCTCTGTATACATTTACTCGAAAAGTTACGTCAAATAAGCACGTATAATTTCTTTGAGGCTTACAGGTTGAGTTTGCCCGAAAATTCCAGTGTGTCTGTGATGGACAGGTGAAGTTGTATGCTTCATTCAAGGATAACATCTACAAAATAGATAGATCGATATGTATCAACAGTTAAAGAAAAGTTGGTCTATTTTCCACCAAAGTTTTATTTTTTTAACACTTCACAAATTGGGAGGTTTATGTGCACGTTTAACTAGTCAAATATGTCAAAGATAACAGGCTAACAATTGTGTACGTGTACATTAGGCTTACCAGTGACGCTTCAATACACACAATTAGTAGACAAAATCAAATCCAAAGTTGTAGAGCTTGAAATACCAAACATTCCGAACAGTTGTGTCCACTGCGGCTAAGGCAGTGTACATCGGAGACGGGAGCCTCTGGTTCAGTTGTTATTATTGGTTCGTGTTTATTTTTCTTAGGTTTGTTTTTAGCTCACCTGACCTGAAAGGTCAAGTGAGCTTTTCTCATCACTTTGCGTCCGTCGTCCGTAAACTTTTACAAAAATCTTCTCCTCTGAAACTACTGGGCCAAATTTGACCAAACTTGGCCACAATCATCATTGGGGTATCTAGTTTAAAAAATGTGTCCGGTGACCCGGCCAACCAACCAAGATGGCCGCCATGGCTAAAAATAGAACATAGGGGTAAAATGTAGATTTTGGCTTATATCTCTGAAACCAAAGCATTTAGAGCAAATCTGACATGGAGTAAAATTGTTTATTAGGTCAAGATCTATCTGCCCTGAAATTTTCAGATGAATCGGACAACCTGTTGTTGGGTTGCTGCCCCTGAATTGGTAATTTTAAGGAAATTTTGCCGTTTTTGGTTATCATCTTGAATATTATTATAGATAGAGATAAACTGTAAACAGCAATAATGTTCAGCAAAGTAAGATCTACAAATAAGTCAACTTGACCAAAATGGTCAGATGACCCCTTAAGGAGTTATTGCCCTTTATAGTCAATTTTTAACCATTTTTCGTAAATTTTTGTAATCTTTTACAAAAATCTTCTCCTCTGAAACTACTAAGACAAATTTAACCAAACTTGTCCACAATCATCATTAGGGTATTTAGTTTAAAAAATGTGTCCGATGATCCCGCCCGCGAACCAAGATGGCCGACATGGCTAAAAAATAGTACATAGGGTAAAATGCAGTTTTTGGCTCATATCTCTGAAACCAAAGCATTTAGAGCAAATCTGACATGGGGGTAAAATTGTTCATTAGGTCAAGATCTATCTGCCCTGAAATTGTCAGACCAATCAGGCAACACATTGTTGGGTTGCTGCCCCTGAATTGGTAATTCTAAGAAAATTTTGCAGCTTTTGGTTATTATCTTGAATATTATTATAGATAGAGATAAACTGTAAACAGCAATAATGTACAGCAAAGTTAGATCTACAAATAAGGCAACATGACCAAAATTGTCAATTGACCCCTTAAGGAGTTATTGCCCTTTATAGTCAATTTTTTACAATTTTCATAAATTTTGTAAATTTTTGTAAATTTTTACAAAGAATTTTCCACTGTATCTACCGGGCCAAGTTCATTATAGATAGAGATAATAGTAAGGAGCAAGAATGTTCAGTAAAGTAAGATCTACAAACACATCACCATCACCAAAACACATCACCATCACCAAAACACAATTTTGTCATGAATCCATCTGTGTCCTTTGTTTAATATGCACATAGACCAAGGTGAGCGACACAGGCTCTTTAGAGCCTCTAGTTTTTTTTAGGTCGGACAGTTGTTTTTTTCTGGTTTAAATTGCTTCACAGTATTCATGCGATGCCTTTTATAGCCGACTATGGGTTTTCTCATTGTCGAGGGCCGTACAGTTGACCATGATAGCTTTAAACCGCATTATTTGAACTCTAGTAGATAGTTGTCTCATTGGCAATCATCCAACATCTATTTTTTGACAATCGATAAACTACTGTTGCATCTACTTTGCATCCTTTTCAACATTCCCATAAATATCTTTAGAACAACTATCCGACAGTAAAAGTTCTGTAATGCAAATATTAAAGATTTAGTGCTAGATCTGGAATTTATAAAATTATAAATATATTAGCTACATGACTGTGTTTTAAATTTCTGGAAATTCATCTGAAATTCAAGAATTATATTTATAAATTTTATTGTAAAACCTAATTTCATTTTGGTTTTTGCAACTGAAGATATATGACTAAAACTACTACATAATAGATTACCAAAAACACTTGTGTTTATTAATGATATAATGTCCACAAATAATTTTATATGGGACAATTCATTTGACTCATACAGGAGGATATCATTTAATGTTGAACGCTTTTCATTAATACCATGAGTGGTTGACCAGTGAACAATGTAACTGAAGTGACAGTTCTAACTCGTCATTTGACAATATTTTGTTGGTGTTAAAATTATGAGATAGGTATTGTTTGTAATCTTTTATTCAGTAGACGAAAAGACCAAGTGTAATGCTTAGAACGTTATTGTGGCCTAAACCAGTAATAGTTCAATTACTGGTTATGGATAGATACACCATAATTTAATAATGACAATAACAATTACGGGAGGAAAATCTGCAATGGTATGTGTAAATATCTACAACATTTTAATGATTTTTTTCTCTAACACATTGAAATGGGATACTTTGTTTGTAAGTCCTGGAAGTGGTTAAAAAAATATTCCGGTCGAAATCTCAAGGATTACTGGGAAATAGAAATATAGTCACTTCTGGTATTCTTCCGACCAGGAGCAAAAGTGGTGCCTCGTTCTCTACGTTTGGGACACTTTCAAACACTGTTTAATTGGTTAGTAGCTGGTCTGTTGCAAGGCTACATTGCAGGTCCTATCCAATTTACGTTCATAATGAGATCATGCGTATAATAAATCTGGAATTTCTTTTAATTATCATTAAAAGAAAAGAACCGAATTATTAAAGGTAGTTAAATGTTAAAACTAGTTTTCCAAAAAATATCAATAAATCCTACAGTTGAAACACGGTAACAGTAATGTATGATTCATTAAACGACTTTGGTATTTAATTTAAATGTCATAATGTATGGTAAATGGGACACAAAGTTGTACAGTATTGAAAAGGACAATTTTTTTCCGGAATTAGTAACTTATTAGTATTTTCTTCAGACTGTTCAGCCAGTGCGATTGATAATCATAACTTAACATTTTTAAAAGGTCGTAGTTTCTTCAAACATTGTATATGGGACTTGAGGTTTAAAGTTGCAAAACAGTTGTTTTGTGTAAGTTGTCTATTAGGTTAAAATTTGGAGTTTTCATGGTTGTCTATTTATGCAAAGAGCAATTAAATCATGAAATTGTAAATATGCCAAAATGAAGGTTTACGGGTGATGGTGTCCATTGAATTATAGAAAAGTAAACACGCATTGTTATTTCTCGTAAAGAGCTCTTTGATAATATATCAGACATATTTGAGTTAATTGTCTTGAAATCGTTTGTGTAAACACTATTGACATATACGTATAATGGAAAAAAAAACAAGTCATTGTCTGTCACTTTTGAATAAAAATTATGTACACAAATTTAGTCTTAAGTGGTTGGTGCTGGTTATTTAATATTTTTCACATCACTGTTGAGTAAGATTATCAGGTTGTATAATAATCAAATATTTTCCACAAAGAGAGATATCAGTACATTAGGACAGGTTTTTTTCACATGAGACCATGAAGCAAGTTTGAGATCGTTACGGTTTATTAACTCACAATTGTTTTTTGTCTTCAAACAAAAAATACGGGTATCAAATACTTAAGGTCAGTGAAGACTAAACCGTCAAACTACTTGTTTTTTATCAGTGAAAAAATTGGACGTTTCCTTTGCACTATGTACAAGTGAATCTTTGTCTTTATCAATATTATGTAATTTAATAAGCATGTACATATATTATTATCACTAGTTATTCATCTTTGTGGATAATTATTCAGGATCGTTCGGACACATATAAAAGCTTTTCTTCACGATCAAATGATGTATTATTGATCTTTCTTAATTCTAACACCAAATGTTGAGTTACGGAAATGGATTGGCATTAAAGAAGTATACAGACCGAGAGCCTCTATACCTGCTCAGGATAGAGCATAACTTCTTTTGTTGAACTATAAGTTGCATAACAGTGTTTGCCCGGAAGTTCAGAGATGACCATATTTTTATACTCCGGTGAACTTAAATGGGTTGTTATAATTATATCTGAAGGCCCAAAGCTTTTAGGCTCAGCTGAACCAAATGAAAAAAGAAAAGAACAAGAATTCTATTATTAGAAGATTTAAATGATTTAAATGATACATACCTGAAGGACAGTCAGTATGATAAACATGTCCATGATTTCTGTTCTTCACTACTAATTTAGTCCATCTAAAAAGGATAAACATTTTAAGAGTTCAGATACTACATAATAAACTGTACATTGCATTGCTTAATAACCCAACCTATGGCTTTATAATATTGTATATTCCTGAGCTACCGTTGTTCCATGTCAAGATGTTTATGCCTAGAACATATATCTTTAAGTTCTCGTAATCAAGAAGACAGATGTCTTTAATTCTAAACAAATACGTCCACGTGTGTTAATGACGAGAAGATTAGCAAGTATTCTAATGAAAGTCCCGAGTCATATTAAGTTGAAAAACCATACGGACATAATTAGACATCAATAACATAAGTAAAATAGAGTTGAACAAATTATTAGGCATGAAATACAAAGGCCACACAAATAATAAAGCCTTTGACTTATGTTTAAAATGTCAATAGGTCAATCCTTTAATTTTCAAACAATGTAGCAAAAGGAACGCATTGAAGATAAATCGTATAATCACAAACATCAAGGAAAATACTTTGTGCCATTATAGATCTTTATAATTTTGTAGTATTCCTATTGGATTTGCATGGCCCGTAAAATAGTTATCTTCAGTAACTCTAAAAACCGACTGAAGTTGTAATATTTGTTCCAGTGGAGTTAATATTCATGAATATGTCTTCCGCATGGAACTTATACTATGAAAGAACTTTTATTTCAACACAACCGGCTAAAATTGTTTAGAAAAAACCCAAACATACATACAAATACATTTTACAAAGACGCGAACAGAAAATGTTTTGTAGTTGATAGTATATTTGACGAAGACGCCAACAAAAAAGTGTCTGTAGTTTATTGAAAATTTGAGAAAGACGCCAACTTAAAACTTTTTGTAGATGATAGTACATATAGTATATAATTCACACTTTTTCGATTAAGTACAAATTAAGTAAAAAAGAAATACATGGGTAAACAAAATGAACACAACAATGTAGTAACCTCTTTCGTCAGAATAGCACCTCTAGACCAACCTGCACTGGGAACGCATAAAGCAAAAACCCCGATAGCTTGATCACAGAACAGATATCACTACATGGTGTTGATATTAATGGGTAGATACAAGTTTCTTTTATTAATAGCATGCTAAAACATTTAATCGACAACTTAGATTAATACCGTTTGATAAACTGATATTTAACAAAATATTCCAATGTGTATACTAATTTGAGACACAATTAATGCAACACTTTCTCAAAGACAAAACGAAAAATGTACTCCTTCTCATATACAGAAAATGTATTGCAACGATCTTTAATTTCCTTTTCAGATATATAAATGATGTTTTGACAATCAGTGACCAACATTTCGGTGATTGATTGCATCTCAAATGTTCAAGTGAACTAGACATAAAGGATACAACTGAAACTATGTCTGCTTCAAAATCTTGATTATTTTCGATATTAACATAGTATGATCCTTACAACATGTACAAAAAAGACTCCTCCAACAGAGTTATGAGGAGATAATCTTGAAACACTACAAACGTTTGACGGTCACAATCACAAATTGGTTGAAAGATATATAATGGTGTATCAAATCTCTAGCGAATTGCTTTTGCAGTCTTAGTGTTTTTAGAATAGTCGTCTCATCTGTAATTTAAAGATTTTGTCTTATACCTGATTGGGATATTTTAACTACGTGTGGTGATACATGCATATCAGAAGACGCTTGCCCTGTCAACATATCTAGTATTGCTCCATTTTGGAGTACATGCTATTCCTTTAGCTTGTGTTTGTTATGTCTTTTTAATCAATTTACAAGATTTGACCATTGGTAAACTACTGTGACTAATGGTTAAGGACAATACATTTTTAATGTCATCCTATAATTTTGAAGAAAATAGGAAGTAAATGAATTTTGCAATTCATAGCATTTTCTCCATATTTTATGTTTTTTTTTAAGACAGTTAATGTTTTATTGTTATGTTCTATTTTAGCAATAGTTGTCATGTTGGTTATAGACAGGAACAAAAACAACATACGTTATATGATTATTCTAGATACCCCTGAAGATCGTTTATTTGAAGCTCTATTGATAATGGTGCACTGGTTTCTGAAGAAAAAAAGTTCACTTGGACGATGACGAACTCAAAATTTTAAATAATTTTGCCTGATGCCTATATACACATTTACCTTTAAATAAAGGACACCAAGGATGATGCTACGTCTTCTTTATATCGGTAGGTGTATATTTAAATTGAGAACTAAACCGACGACTAATAAGATGATTTCATTTGTTCTAGGGTGATGCCATTTAAAAAATCTTGTATAGACATAATGTATAGTTTTAAATACAAAACTTTGAGCTTGGTTGTTTATATTAGAAAACAATATTTCCTATGAAATCTCCATCTAAAAGTACAATATTCTGTGAATAAATAACAAGAAATGAATTAACAGTATCATTTTCAACATCTCTAAACTACTGATGCCTCTCATTCATTGTTTTGTAAATTGTTCCCACCCATTTTTTTTATCATGTTCAATCTTCAATAAACAAATAATTAGGATATCAAGTAAGATAGGTCATTAAATTGTACTCTTTATTCAGAAACATTTATTGTAAATAGTACTTTATTCCTATCTAATATGAAAGTACAAATATATTTAAATGAACTGACTTAAATTTTTTAAAAACAAATCCATATATATTACTTAACAGGAGTACGATGTCTGAATTTGTTACATAAAGAATCAATTTCAGACACATTGTTCCTCCTAAATAAACGATATCACATTATTTTATTAATAGCCATTATCATTTAAAAATATCCCAGGTATCAAAATAACAGAACTGTAAATGATTTAGTAAACTCATTTGTGTCAAAAATATTAATCTGGCACTAAATTTTACGTAACTGTTTTGCTTGAGTCGCGTCAAAAATTCCCAGACTTGTTGAATTGGTAAACTTTACATGAATATTTTTTTATTGCATTCAAATTATTTGACTACTAAGTGCTTCCGTCAAGTTCCCTTTACAAAAGAATAGGTTTGTTTTATTATTTGTATATATGATACAAATAGGAACTATATGATGAATATTTAATTAGAGGAATATTGCACAAAATTACATACAATATGTTCACATGTGGCATTTACTTTGAAACCTACAATTCCCACATCAAACATGAAGTCCGTCAGATAGCTTTTTGATATTTATTGTTTCTTTTTCAATAAACTGCTTCTCAGTCAAACTGCCAACGATTACTCATTTGCGACAATTGAAGTTTTTGTTGTATTTAAAATCATGACAAAGAAGGATTGTCAATTGACGCTATATACGTTTCAAAGGTTGGCCAGGTATGACGAACGTAACCGGTTAAAAACTACACATTTCAAACATTACTATTTGTCGTAGTTTTAATTAACTCCTACCCTTATAAAAAAAGAAGTGGTGAACTTCATTAAGTCGACTTGACGAATTGTATAGATCTTTATATATATGTTTTGTATTTCTTGAAGTAGGTATATGTCTTTAATGCATTAAGAAAACATATCGTATTCTTTCTTCGCAATTTTATCAAAAGTATAACGATCTCAAATTCTAGAATATGATCACGTTTCAGAATTTACACAAATGTTACGATCCCAATGACCAATTAAATGACCGATACGATACGCTGGTGAATGCTAGGTTGTTTGATCGTTTGGTGTATTGCTGTCAAGTTTAAGGATTTAATTAATAGGTAAAAAAAGCTAGGATTTTCAGTTTTGGACTAATTTCAGATAGTCACCTTTAATTTTTTTTATAACTTTTTCAAATTAACTTGGATTTCTACAAAACTATACAGCTATATCAGATAAATATTGATCTTACAGAATGCCAGGTTGTTTTGTAGTTTGGTGTATTGCTGTCAAATTAAAGGATTTAATTGATAGGTCAAATAAGCTAAAATTTTCAGTTCGGACTAAATTCAGATAGTCACCTTAAATTTGTTTTTTAATTTTTTCAATTACTTGGATTTTCATAAAACTATACAGCTCTATCAGATATATATTGATCTTACAGAATGCCACGTTGTTTTGTAGTTTGGTGTATTGCTGTCAAATTTAAGGATTTAATTGATAGGTCAAATAAGCTAGAATTTTCAGTTCGGACTGAATTAGTCACCTTTAAATCCTTTAGTTTGACAGCAATGAACCAAACTACCAAATAACCTAGAGTTTTGTAAGATCAATATATAATTGAGTTACATGGACTGATTCAGACCAGTCTAAACTAAATTTAAAGGTCAAGGCTAGTCAAGACAGGTCAAGACTGGTCGAGACTGAGTCGAGACTGGTCAAGACAGGTCGAGACTGAGTCGAGACTGGTAGAGCATTTGTCGAGACCATTTCAAAGTATACCAAGATTATCAAGTACTGAATTAAATAAAATCGAGACCAAAGTCGAGTACAGTTAAGAACAGTTAAGTACTGTCTATATTATGTCGAGTCTTATCAAGTAAAATCCTTACTGGTCGAGCACAAAATATGGTCTTTTCAGACTCTTAGCAGTTTGTAGTGTATATTGATTTGTCTCTTTTTAACCAATTTACGAGATTTGAACTACTGTCGTCTTTAATTCATAGATCGTTTATGATTGAAATCGTATATGGTTTTGATGCTGTTTCATTGGCATTTACTTAAGGTATCATGTTTTTCACGTTGATTTTATCCTACAAAACGAGTAATATAGATTATGCAAAAAACATGCACTCTTTGAATACAGCGCTGACTTCCTTTTACTGATATTTCTCATTATTATTGACTTTTCTTTAAAAAGATAATCCGTATTAAAAAATTTTGAACAATAGAAAACCTTTGAAAAAAATGTTTACTTAGTTCTAATATTTATCCTATAAAGTGGGCGGGTGCACATTCTCGTTTATCGAACGATTTAAACAAAAAGATACAATTTGTAAACCACACCGTAATATGTATCAATAACGTCGCCAGAAAATTAATTGGTTTTTGTTCGTCAAATAATCAATATCAATTTCATTAGCATCATGCGATTCGTTGGTTATTAAAGAAAACTTAACATTAATTTACCCAAATCACAAATATAATTCTAAACATAAACATGATCACTACTGTCTTTTTGTGGTAATTTTTTATTCCTAATTATCAGTTATTTTTCCCAATATCATTCTTAAAGAATCAACGACTCACATCTTAAAGGCGACAACGGTTAATTCTGCTTTGTTATTTGATCGTGTAATTTTTAAACAATATTTGTAATTATGTGAATACCTTGCAAAGAGTATATTATATATAATTACTGTCTTTTGATGAGATAAATATGCGGTTTTATTGACTTTTGAAAAACTGATATTCACTGAGGCCGACGGCCGAAGTGAATATCAGTTTTTCAAAAGTCAATTAAACCACATATTTACCGAAACAAAAGACAGTTATTGTTTTATTCCATATTAAGAGAGAAAACATTGTATTTAATGACAAATATTTACCCAAACCAATTGTACATTATACATTTTACCATAACGTTACATGTAAAAGCGTGTGACGTTTAGCGCGGTGAATAACACTTTTCTCCAGGTGAATATGCTTTTTTATTTAAAATCCAATTCATATAGAGAAACCTACTAAAATACTACTTATATGGAATAATTGTCTTTACTTTGTTTTGACATAATTTTAGACTGCCCTGAGGACATTTACAATCAAATCAATTTATCAAAATTGAATATTCAAGTTTAGTGACAACGGGAAATTGACTTTTGTTTGATAAAACATAGAATGACGACAATGTTAACTAAACATACTATGCTTACCTGAAACTACTTTATCCAGAACCAAATAAGACAAAGATGATAAAATGAATGTTATTGACTTAAAAGACCAGAGTGTCCATTGTGCAATATCATCACATATTCATCATTGTAGTGAAATGTTATTTGATATAACGTTTAACACAACTGATTCCGCATATGAACAGAAAAATGATATTTTATGACTAATGTGGACAAACCCCAATTATTGTATTATGTACCTTACATTGCCACAAATTTAGAATAACTGGTTGTACTTTAAATCAAAATTTAAACAGGATACCTGATATTTTTCAATAGAAAACTGACAGACCAAATAAATAATGTTTGAACTAAAGTTTGAAGTCTTGTATTTAACATTGACCTAAAATAGAATTGTAAACATGTATTTTAACAACTCGAATTAAGGTATTGAATTTAAACTTTAAAAGACATGATTTAAAAATCGTCCAGATCTTAATGTTTGTGTTTTTATTATTTTACTTAAGGAAAACTTTTGAAAGAAAGCATACGGAACAATAATTTTTATTATTCATAATCCCACAAAAGAGTAATGACCACACATGTTGAAAACAGTTCATGTTCTTGTTTGTGTAAAATAAATGAATTTCTTTTGAAAATGTGTGTAAAACTATCCCAGCAGGCACTCGATGTTGTACAGACGTGGACATTTGGTTGAACATAGGTCGCAACGTTGGCTGGCATTCGTCTGTCGGTTATTATAGAACGACGTCTACATAAACTTGCTGTTTGGTTTCGACCTTATACAACGTCAACACAATTGTCGGATGCCATATGTCGGTCAGAAGTATAAATTAATCTAAGATATGGAAATCAAACGTACACGAACATAAAGTCTAAAATTATATATTATCCTTTCACATTACTATACGTATCCTATGTTTATCTAAATATTATAATGAACCTCAAAATAAAGTTTAATATAGCTCTCTACTAAGATAAATAACATCGAATATGTCTTATTCCGGTGTTCATTTCAAAGCCAGATTACCAGCACACACCCCTTTTACCAAGGAACATTTGCGACCCCTTTAGTTGACGCAATCACCAATAACGCAATCTATTTGAAAAAGAGAATTTCTATTTTATTCTCTTTTTTCAATGTTAACTATTTGTGTAACCAAAATGTTGAAACAAACGTTATACTGGCATGATTGTAACAAATGTAGTTGATGATGGCATAAAAAAACTCTACAAAAATAAAATTGGAGAACAATCTCCACAAATGAACACGTTTTACTGTAGTTGTACAAGAAACGTAGAAATTATTTGTTAACAAGTATTGGGGATATTTTCCCACAAAGTTAATAACCAAACAAATATCAATAGACTTTGGACATTTCCCCAATAAGATGATAACAAACAATTAAATCAATAGAATGCGGAATTTCCCAAAACAGATGATAACCATAAAAAAAAAGATTAGGGAGATCTCCCCATAATGATGATAGCCAACAAGAAATCACAAAACTGGGGAAATTTCCCCAAAAAGATGATAACCAAAAGGAAATCAATAGACTCGGGAAATTTCCCAACAAAGATCATGTTAACCAACAAAAAATCAATAGACTGGGGAATCTCCCTTTAATGATGATAACCAACAAGAAATCATTAGACTGGGGAAATTTCCCCCAAAAGATGATAACCAACAAACAACCAACAGACTGGGGAAATTTCCCCAAAAAGATGATCACGAAAAAGAAATCAATAGAATGGGGAAATTTCCCCAAAAAGATGGTTACCAACAAGAAATCAATAGACTAGGGACATTTCCCCAAAACGATAACAAAATAGTTATCAGTAGGGAGAGGAATTGTCCCACAGAGATGATAACCAAAATTATGTCATAGGCTTATTGAAAATCCAAATGCATTGCACAATTACAACAGTGATACATATGTCGTCTTACAGATACAGTAAGAAGAGAAAGGGGGGGGGCATTTTCACAAGCAGATAACACAATTAAAAAGAAATATTGACTGAAAATACAACAATTATTGCAGATAAAGATGATACAGTACACGAAATAGGGCAATTTCCTCACAAAAACTTGTTTAACTGTAATCATGTATATCGGAGCCTTTGTCAGTCGACTATACTAGGCGAGTGACTTATTTCAAAAAAACGCTTAGTTAACGACTTTAATGCACCCACCTAACACACGGCTGTATTATATATCATTCGAAAGCTAATAATCTGTACTTTCTCTTTTGTCCGGTCGTAAAAAAATCGTACGGTGCATTTTCTGTTAAATCAAGGTCAAAGGTCATGAAAAACATTATAATTTTTGCGATTACTAAACAAAAAGCCATTTTCTAATTCTTGTACCATAATATTTTTCAAAAGATCATAAGAACTTTATATAACATAATACATTATTTCCAAATCAAATAAAAAATAAGAGGTTATATGCGCAATATTTCCCGAAAATTAAAATTCATCACAAATCCTAAAAAAATTAAAAATTGTTCCAAAAGCAAAATATATCTTGGGGGATTGATATTTGTATGCTAAAAAAAATAGATAAATAATATGTTTTAGGTCAAGGAATATTTGTTTTGTAATTTTAAGATGCAATTATTAATTATTGTTCTTAGAACAGCCATCTATTGAAGTGTTTGCAGTTGCCCAAAAATCTGCCATCTGCAAAAAAGCGATCATTTTGTTATTCGATGTCAAGATAGCACCTCGCTAATTGTCAATATCAGGGAGGAGAATGATTTTCCATAATTAAAGAAGGGGTATTTAAAGTCCAAAAAGAATATATACGAGCTAATTGAGGTAAAAATATGTTTTTTACGAAGTCAAACTTATTTACTTTTTTTAATCATGATTAAATGCAAACATGACTTTGCGACTAAATCGTAGGCAACATTGAAATAAGTAACCTTATTTAGCATGTTTAGAAACACTTGGTTGTCTAAAGCGGGAGGTAAACGAACTACATATAATGCTGCTGCTTATTATTTAGTTTAAAATCGTGTTAGACATATTAAATGTGTTTAGAAGTTTAATCTCTTTAATTATTTGAATAAAAGATGCTTCTATATATATTTATTCTCACAAACCAAATTTCAAAGGTATAGAGATAGGATTGAGTATTTTCAACATAAGCTTTTAAAATACAAATGCAGGTCATTGTGTATGTAAAACACTATAAGCAGTTGTGAAATAAAAAAATGAAAAAGTTGAATACCTTCCTGACCTCATAAAATCATTCGCTGTTTTAGGCAGTGATCTTTTTCATGCTGTGCTGAGTTTTGTGGACTGTTGTTCGTCTCTTGGACTTTAATTTTATTTTGTTCATGGTTTTAATTAAGTTTATTTGATTTATAGTTTGAGATGTTATTGTCCCTTTGGTATTATTTCACTTTAAAGATATTAACTTGCAGTAATGAAAATCGGCAAAAAAATCGCCTCAAAGTAAAGTGAAGAAGATTAACGCAATAAGACAAATATCCTCGAAAATAACTTATATTTGCTCACGGTGATATATATATATATAGAACCAAATCGTTATCATGATACATTTAACTACAATGATCTACAATTTTTAAAACTTTTACTACTTGAAGAGTGACGAAATATATCAAAGGGACATCAAACTCATAATTGAAAACGAACTGAAAAAGCCGGGCAAAAAACGAACAAGACAAGCAACAGAATACAAAACACAACATATAAAACTACAGATTGAGTAACACAAACCCCCAAAAATATTTGGGGTGAACTCAGGGGTCCAAAAGGGTGAGCAGATCATGTTCCACATGTGGTACCCGGGTTGTGGCTCGTGTAATTCCTACTTCGGTGCCAAGCCTTAATCGGTAGGTGACATTCAAGGCAGAAATGACGGTATTTTGGTTACGTCGATTGGAACTTATCAGTCGTCATCTGGCAAAACAGATATTCCATAATTGTCAACCAACTCGTAGTGGCGTCCATAAAATTTTCAAAGGGATGATTTCAACTTTGCATTTAAACCCTGGTTTAAAACCATGTTCAAACCACCATTTTTCTTCAAATGTCCTGTACCAAGTCAGGCATATGGCAGTTGGTATCGAATAATCTGTTTCTTTATATGTTAATGTTTGTTTTTGTAACAGTTCAGTGTTTCTGTTATTCCGTTGTGTTCCTCTTATAGTTGATGCGTTTCCCACGGTTTTGGTTTGTGACCCGGATTTGTTTCAGTTACTAGTAAATCGATTGATGACTATTGAATAGCGGTATACTATAGTTGCCTTTATTTAATATCTTCATTGTGAGCAGTTACACACTATCACGACAATCGTGAAAGTTAATGCAAGCTCTGGAATATTGTATCAACTTGGAGATATATACTCCACAAGAAGATGCCGCGAAATCGCGTTACAATTGGGCAAGTGTTTAAATAAAGAGTTTTATATAATTTTGCGGGCAGTACGTCGACTGAGCATGCAAAGACAAATTTAGGAAATGCAAAACCCTACATTTATACCTCATTTCATAAATATTCCGACTTGTTATTGTTTCAGAGGAGTTGAGGCTCAATGAAATCGGTCTCCTCCTTTAATAGTATAGATATGCAGGTGCTGCTATAATGTTGCTACATAGAAATGAAAAGTTTATAATTGGTTGGTAAGGAGTGTTTTTATGGGTTGATTTATGCTCATCTCTTTTGTCGTAAAACTTGTTCTCAACCAACCCTCATCGTAGATTTCAAGATAAGTGGTAGAGTAAACTATATCTGTTGAGTTTTTTTTTAATTTCAATGGAAAATACGAGTCCAACATTGTACCAAATTTGGCACTATTCAGCGAGATGACATCATCTATATAGTGGAAAGTGAAGTTTCAAGATAATGGTAGCTTCTTTTCAGTCGTCATCAGAAGCTCTTGCATGAAGTCATCCTCGTATGAAAAATGAACTAGAATCGTTGCGTATTAATGGATTTTTTTCTTCAAAATTATTCTTATTTGATGAATTAATGCATTTAAAGAATGAACAACGCAATTTAAGCAACCAAGAAGTCAAGTTTTATAATGTGTTTACTGGTTTTTAAATTCTTTTAAATTTCAATTTTCATCAATTTATTTTTTATTTATTTTTGTCTAAATTTTCAATTTATTTTTTATGGTTCACATTAAATAAATAAA